GAGAGAGAGAGAGAGGAAGAGAGAGAGAGAGAGAGAGAGAGAAAGAGAGAGATAAAACTAAAACTTTTATTTAAATTAAAAAATTATCAAATTTTGTCTTTATGCAGAAAACTTTCAAGGCCAGTACAGAAAAACCAATTTATTATAAAATAGATATCTCATAATTATAATTTATTGTATAAGTATTACATATCCTGATAGGAAAACATTTACAAAATTATGTGACGAAATCTCGCACTAAAATTGTAATTTGCAATTATACAGATATATTTTAAGAAATAGATGTAAAAACATGGATTTTTTATAAAATATTTGTAGTTGTTTGCAAAATTACTTTCCAAATACTATTTCGGCAAAAGAATAACAATATGGCGAAGTACATCTTAGCAGTATATTTCCAAAATTAATTTCAAAAAGAAATTGTTCAATAATTGAGACAAAAATTTCAGCTATGTGATGTTTAAAATATGTAGAAATATAGTTGCATATGAAAAAATCAACTTAATTCATGTACATACTTATGGAAATGCATAATGACTTTTTCGCAATTTTTGACAAATACACAGCCCCACAAAAATAATGAAAAGTCCAAAAGACAAGACCATGGTATCTATATGTTTTTGGGATCGCTAAATCCGAATCCGGGGTCCGTTTGACCCGATCAGATCTGGGTTAAGGTCAGTTTAAAATCAAATCCAGAGATTCAATTGCAAACAAAGTAAATCAATATATCTATACGTTTTTAGAATCGCTAAATCCGAATCCGGAGTCCGTTTGACCCGATCAGGTCTGCTAAATACTCTTAAGTTCTAAACTCAAAACACTCAAGTCAAAAATTTACGCATATTAAAATTTGAATAACAAATAAGATTAAAGAAAGAAAGCTTCAACTCTGAGTCACAGAACAAGATCATTTACTTTTTCCTCAGGGTTGAAGCTTTCTTTCTTTAATCTTTTTTGTTATTCAAATTTTAATACGCATAAATTCTTGACTTGAGTGTTTTGTGTGAGTTTAGAACTTAAGAGTATTTAGCAGACTCGATCGGGTCAAACTGACCCCGGATTCGAATTCAGCGACCCCAAAAACATATAGATATCATGATCTTGTCCTTCGGACCTTCTACTTTTTTTTGTGGAGCTGTGATATTATTTACAAAATCTTATTTCGACAAAACTGTTGCGTTACGGCAAATCATCTTAGTGCAATCATTGCAAAATCGTCGTTATTCATGATGCCATTTTTGTGCAATATTTTCACAATTTGTCTATTAGGGTAGTTTTATAAGTATTACAATTAAAGTGCTATATGCGCTTAAAAAGTTCATCAAGCGGGTAAAATGATATAATCTTCTTGCTCTATTCATAGAAATAGCAACAATGACTTTGTGCGTTAATTTTTTTTTTGTATTTTGAAGCTACAGATATATAAAAGCTCGAAATTCTTCTAGCTAAAGTTTTAATACATTTAATTGCTTGATATTTGATGCTTTCACGGTGTGTTATATTAACATTCGAGGATGTTTTTCGGGTTTGAACCGCGTTAGTGTCATTTTTATACCGACGTTTCGTGAACATTTCAGCTCACTTCATCAGAATTTCAAGAGCAGCCTGATATTAGCTGAAATGTTCACGAAACGTCGATATAAAAATGACACTCACGCAGTTCAAACCCGAAAAACATTCTCTAATATTATATTGTTTGTTTAATATATTGTAATATATTGTATTGTTATTTTTAATAAATTAATTAATAAAATAAATATATATGTATATATATAATTAATTAATAAGGTAAATATATATACATAAAAAAGGAGCAGCTTCTGATGACCTTGATTTTGACATATCAAGGTCATCTAAATAACCTTCAAAAGGTTTTAAGTGATGTTTATTAAAAAGTTATTAACAAAAAATGATGTATCAATAAAATAAAATTTCTGTCATACAAAGAACGTAATTGGAAAGTAATTAAACAGGCAAACTTATGTTTTTTTAAACAGTACATATACCTCGTTTTGCCTTTAAGAGAAAGTGTGAATTAGCCCTCGCTTTGCGTGGAAAGTCGAAAACCCGTGTTGTAGAGAACAATTATAGACTTTGCTTCGTCCCGTCAGGTATGATATATTTTCTGTATGTATTTTCATATGTCCTGTATGCATTTTCATACGTCATACCTGATTCCATCATTTGTATTGATAAATTATATGCTTATAATTTTGTGTAATAAAAAAATACACATTTTACAATAAATCATGCAAATAATTTTGTTCCAAAACTGGTTTTTATACGCAAAATATAGAAAGATTGTGGAGAGAAATGCAAATATTCCGCGACACGCGAGATTATCATTACAGTATAAATGATTAGACCAGGTGTGACATATTTCCGTATAAAACGAGATTTACCCTACTCTCTTCTCCTGCTTACGGGGTGTCAAAATATATAATTGTTTTGTTTCACGTGGATTTTCGACTTTTCACGCGAAGCAAGGACATACTTCCATCTCCTGCTTAGAGACGAAACAAAGTCTATGATTGTACTATTTCACATAGATTTACAACTTTCTTACTACGTTCTATGTACGACAGAAATTTTATTTTATTGATATATTTTTTGTTAATAACTTTTTAATAAATCATGACAGTGACTATCATTTAAACTTTTTGGAGGTCACTCAGGACCATGACTTTGATACCATATGTCAAAATCAAGAACATCAGAAGCTATATATTTTTTTATGTATATTTCTCGAAAAAAGATCAGTAGCAATGAAATATGTCCCAATATAAAATAATTTTTTAATTACACAAATACTATGTATGTATTTATTTGTTAATGTGTAGAATTAACTCTTATATGTGTAATAAATAGAACAGTTGGAATATATTCAGCAACAAAATCTTTATCATGTATAATTAAAAAATTCTTATTTTTAAGCATTTTGTTAAATTATGATCTGAATTATTATAGTTAAATTTATTGCAGTAACTACCAATAAAATGATATGCATTATCGGCCGGAAGTGCAATATTAGTCCGTAATAAAAGACAACGTTGCACAAATAATAACTTAATTAAAGTAGCTTGCACAATACACATTGATATATATGTTAATATATAATAGAATTATCTTCATAAATCTGTAAAGTAATAATTAATATATAACTATTTATATAAAAGATTTTATGATATCTTACCAAAAAGGTATTAACATCCTATTTTTTTGTTATTATAACTGTTAAATATGGAAATTGTTTTGTTGTCATTTAATTTTTATCTTTTATTGCTCAAGAACGTAATTATTATAATATTATAATAAAATGTAATTATTATAATATTATAATATTAAAATAGTTTTAAGACATGACTGAGATATATACATATACATATACATATTGTTTTTATTATTATTAACGCAATTAATTTGTTTTACATTTAAAGCCATGTAATGAAGTAATGCATTACATCGCTTTACATCATTTACAAATACTGTACAATAAAGCAAATAATACTACTGTACAAATAAGCTACTGTATAATACAGCAAATCACTCAACTGTATTTTCTATAAATAATAATTTATTGAGAGAATAAGTTATAAAGCAATTTTATATAAAGTAAGCTTTTTTAATTATGGTGTTATTTAAATGCGGTAATTATAAAATATGGTGTTATTGTTTCGTTGTTTACAAGCTTAATATTTAAAAACTATATCTTTTTAATGTTAAATTACTATATAATTTTTATCTATTTTCGAAAATAAAATTGTTATATTACTAGAAGCGCACGCTTCGATGTACCTGCCAAATGTAAATAATCAAGATATAAGAAATATAAGTAATATATATCTTGTTAAAAATATATATGTATATATATACACACATAGTATACGTTAATATATTTTACATTGTTGTGCAATATTGTTCACAAAAACGATATTTTATAAAATGTTTATATATATAAAAAATACTAATAAGTTCTATGTATATAAATATGCCGTTACAATTGCAATGTTGAGAATTTTTAAATATTTATCAAAAGTATATATAATATACACATAGTATATTATATCAAGTTATTTATTCAATATATCATACTATTTATTTTACTTTTGATATACTTATGTTTTACACAAATGTAATCAAATGTAATTAAATTCAATTTATATAAATTATACCAAATGATCCAAATGTATATTTACATCTAAAGCACAATTTCCGTATTTATTGCAACTGTTTGAATGGTTATAAGCAATCGTTACATAGCATACGAAAAAGATTAAGAGAAAACAAGTTTTATCAGTGCTTCGCTATTTTGATACGAATAAATGGTGTTGGTAGGTTTTGGGTGTATCAAGAGCGCGCATTGCACAAAAAATTGAATATATATTTAAGAATTGAAGCGGAATATTAAACCGTAATTCTGATTTTTTTT